AAAAAATTACCAAAACCAGCCTCCTTCCAAAGGGGACCCACTTACAACAGCTACCCTTACAGCAAAATCAACAAACACACGCTTTCTTCCTCAAGTACATTAGCACAGTATTTTATATAGCTTTTAGAAATAATATGAGAATATGAGAAATAATAAGGCACAAGTTTTTTTATTTACAGGAAACAAAAATTCTAAAAGTATTAAGTTGCAAACTATTATCAAGTTCACATTTCACCTAGTGTGAACAATTGAACAAGGGTATAAAGTAATTTTTAAATATCTTCTAAGTCAGAAAATCCTTTCTTAAATAAGTTTTCATATAAAGTCAAGTCCTTGGGACTTAAGGATGGTTTTACAGTCCTAAGTGTTGTTAGAAAGTGCTCCTGTTTCACTGCGGTTGCTTCTAGTCCATTTTCTTGCAGGGCCAGCAAGGCAGCCTATAAGAGATAAGCAATAAAAAACAATTATTTACTTCATTTTTATTTTTTATAATATAAGGTAATATTTTAAAATCTGAATGTACCATCTCAGTCTCACTTTATAGGATTCCAATATTCATGTCACTAAAACTATTAAGTTAAAAATTTAAGTAAGATGATTAAAAATCCATTAGTAAGCCATAATTTCTTTTATATTACCTTCTAGTTTTAATTGGAAAACAAGCAAAAGCAAGCTGTTATAAACGCATATATTTTAAAGATGAAAGTGTAGCTTCTTGACCTCAGCGCTTTTATTGAGCACTGATCATAAAGGAAAAGATCAAACATACACACACTCCATGACCCTAAGAGTTTCCTCAGAGCCACATACATATAATAGACATAAATACACACATAAACAGACAGACATGCATAACATTGCTCACAGCAGCGTAATTCATAACAGGCAACAAGTACAAACACAAGTGTTCAAAAATAAAAGAATGGATAAACAGAATCTTCATTTGCACAGTATTATTGAGTGATGGAAATGAACAAACTATGGCTACATATAAACTCATGGCTGAATTTCTTCTTCAGTTAAAGCAGACAGAAAATATATACCATATGGTTCCATTTATATAAAATTCAAGACCAGGCAAAATTAATATTCCATGTTAGAACAGGAGAGTGGGTCCCTTTTGGAAGGAGGCAGGAACAGCAGTTGGGAAATGCCCAAAGAAATATTCTGGGAGTTGATAATGTTCTATTTCTTGACATGGTGATTATAAATAGCATGAACATTTTATGTTAGTTCAAGAAACTGTATCTTTAACATCACAACTTGGGAGGAAAAAAAGGAACTGTATCCTTATGATCTGTTCATTTTTCTGAATGTTATATTTAGTAAAAGTTTATAGATATAGACTTCTACCCACAATGCCTTTTTTTTTTTTTTTGCAGTTTTGGGGGGGGCTGGGTTTGAACCCACCACCTCCGGCATAAGGGGCCAGCTCCCTACTCCTTTGAGCCACAGGCACCGCTCCCACAATACCTTCTTTTGCCCTCAAAACATCTTACTGTGCCTTACAAGAACCTGCGTAGCTTTATTTCTTGCCATTCTCTACTTTAAGACTCAATAACGTCACACCATCTCCTACTGCTAAGAGATGCTCCTTGGCACATTTCCTCTGCCTCAAACATTCCCCCTTCCCTATCTTAGCTAACTTCCTAATCATCCTTTCAATTTCAGTTTACACATCCCCTCTCTCAGAAAGCTCTCTCTGACACATCAAGTTGGACTGGCGTCTTTCCCAAGTGCTGCACAGCACCTTAAAGTTCCCCAACTCACTGCGTCTTTCCAACTGCCAATTCAGTCTTCTAATCTGTCTCTCTCTACCCCTCATCGAAATGTGTGAAGCAGTCACACATAGAAGTCTTCTAGTAAATATTGCTGAGTGAATCAAGATTTGAATAGATCAAGAAATGTTTTGAACCACAGACATCTTTACTAATTAACTTACTTCTTTGCAGAGGTTTCTAAGATCAGCTCCAGAAAAAAAACAAGTTTCTTCTGCTAGGTTTTCTAAAGAGACATCAGGTCCTATCGGCATGTTTTTTGTGTAGACTTTTAAAATAGAAAGTCTGCCCTGGAACAAAATAAAAAATAATGTATTTATACATTATACAATGATATACAATGTATACAAAAATACACAATGATATTTTTCCATTACAAAGTATATGTGTATGTATTTTGTATTACAAAAATATATAATGATATTTTTCCATATACAAAGTATATGTATAAGAGAAACAAATAAAATAATTAACTTCTGATTTCTATGGGGTTTAAAAGACTAAGTCCCCAATGGCTTACATGGTAAAAAATAATGACATCATGAAAAATTTCAATAGTTTTATAATTTTAAAAAGAGTCAGGTATAGTGGCTCATGTCTGTAATCCTAGCACTCTGGGAGGCTGAAGCAGGAGGAGAGCTTGAGCTCAGGAGTTCAAGACCAGCCTCTCACAGAGTGAGATCCCATCTCTACTAAAAATATAAAAAAATTAGCCGGGCATTGTGGTGGGTGCCAACAGTCCCAACTACTTGTGAGGCTGAGGGAGGAGAACTACTTGAAGCCAGGAGTTTGAAGTTGCTGTTAGCCTCAGCAACAGAATAAGACTCTGTTTCCAAAGCAAAACAAAACAAACAAAACAAAATCCAACTGTAAATAGAGCTCTTTAAGAGAGAAGATCAATCTCTCTTGGGTACAAACAGTGCTGTTACATATGGTTTACAAAGCAAATATATGATTTACCTGGTAAAATTTAAAAGTATAATAGAAGGAAAAAATTCATCCTGTGTCTTTCACCACTCCCTGTCAGTAGCTCCATATTTTAAGGGCATTTACTGATTGACTGATTGTGAACACATTCTATAATCTCTGTAATCTCTAATTTCTCTACTGTACAATAATCTCCAAAACTCTTTTAGCCCCTTGTAACATTTTAGGATTCACCCATTGTAGTGGCAAGGTAATACTGAGAAGACTCAAGAGACACAGTGTTTCTAGTCTGCTGCAACAGCAAAATAACTACCAAAGCCGGGCCCAGTGGCTCACACCACTAATCCTACGACTTTGAGAGGCTGAGGTGGGAGGGAGTTTGATGTTGCACTGAGCTTTGATTATGCCTCTACACTCCAGCCTTGGTGTCATGAGACCCTGTCTCCAAAAAAAAGTAACTACCTTACCTTTAGGCTTATGTTTCTCTGAAAACAGAGCCAGAGTATTTAGCTAAAACAAGTGAAAATTATTATTTTATGAAGGACCACAAGAAGGTTGTAGAATTCAGTGTGAGTAGGACACCACATATACCTATATTAAGTTTGGAAGTCAATTCTGCCAAGCTCCTTAGAGCACTGACATTGATGTACTGTCAGAAGTGCTCACACATAGTAGGTGTGTACATTGATTACCTTTTGGTCTGGAGGTGGAATATAGATAATCTTATCTAGTCTTCCAGGTCGTAACAAGGCATCATCTAACACCTCAGGTCTATTTGTTGCTGCAACAATCATGACATTTAGACTAAAAATTTCTTGCATGTCTGAGGAAAAACAACAAAGTATTGTCAGTAAGTTGTTAATTTTTTTTTTAAGTTATAACGCAGAAGGTCAATTTGTTTTTAAATAAGGATATCCTTCTTTTAGGACCAGAATGCTTATATCCCCTTTCCAGACCACTTTCTTGATATCAAGGAAATCACTGATCAAAGAGCTACTGTGTGTGCATGGTGAAGAGCCATTTCTCCATGCGAGAGCGAATAAAAAGCTTTACCCCATAGCAGAGAATGCCTGTTTGGTGACCAGAGAGCACCTTAGCAGCCAGTGAATAATTTTTTGTTTTTTTGTTTTTTTTTTTTTTTTGAGACAGAACCTCAAACTGTCCCCCTGGGTAGAGTGCCGTGGCATCACAGCTCAGAGCAACCTCCAACTCCTGGGCTCAAGTGAGTCTCCTGCCTCTGCCTCCCAAGTAGATGGGACCACAGGCACCCACCACAATTGTTGTTTGGCGGGCTTGGGCTGGATTCAAACCTGCCACCTTAGGTGTATGTGGCTGGCGCCTTAGCCACTTGAGCCACAGGCACCGAGCCGCAGCCAGTGAATAATTACAAATTAAACGAACTACTCAAAAAGACAGACGCATACAACTAAGAGGCAGACATGTACAGCTATGAAAGGTCTTGGCGAATATATCCCTAAAAAGGAGAGATTTACTTTACTTTTTTATTTTTCTTTCCAGAGACGTAAATAATGACAATTAGTTTAAGTTGCAGGTATGAAAATCCTGGATCAAGAAATGTCTAAAAGCAGAGAGGGCCAAGCCTTACACATACTAAACATTCAAAATCATTTGTTGAACTGACTCATCAGAGCAGCTCTCCAGTGACACAATCCCTCAAAGTAGTAAGTTCACTCTATTTGCAAATATTTTCACAGAGGCTGTGTGAACACCTGCTAGAGACTGTAGAAGGAATTCCTGCGTTATGAGATGATTTGATTAAATAACCCCATGGGCCCCTTCTGATTCAATTATAGTACATATGTTCCTAAAGAGCTGCAAGATTCTCTTCTGTGCAAGAATTTTAAAAAGGAGAAACCAGAAGAGAAGAATAGAAGGAAAGGAAAATTTGCCAAGGATACCAAACTCTATCTGGAGATTTAGAATGAGAGGCAGAAGACTTCCAAAAGTCATTTTAGCGTCATTAAAACCAAAGAAACCCATTCCTCAAGAAAATTAAAAGTTTTCACCTATTATAAAGTTATGGGAAATAATCATCTGTCTTGGTTTTACATAAAAATTTTTAGAAAGGTATAAACAATGGTTTTTCAAGATAGATAAATAAGAATAAACTCCCTTTTCCAGTAGCAATAAGTAAAATTGCATTTCCTTTTTTTTGCAGTTTTTGGCTGGGACCAGGTTTTGAACCCACCACCTCTAGTGTATGGGGGCCGGCGCCCTACTTCTTGATCCACAGTTACCACCTCTCTTTTTTTTTTTTAAAGACAGAGTAGAGCAGCAGTTCTAAACCTATGGGTCGCGACCCACAGGAACTGTATTAAAGGGCCGCAGGATTAGGAAGATTAAGAACCACTGGAGTAGAGCATAGTAGTATCATCAAAGCTCAAAGAAACCTCAAACTCCGGGGCTCAAGTGACCCTCCTGCCTCAGTCTCCTAAGCAGCCAGAACTACCAGTATGCACCACCATGCCCAGCTAATTTTCCTATCTTTTACAGGTCTGTGTTGCTCAGGCTGGTCTCAAACCCCTAGCCTCCCAGAGTGATAGGAATACAGAAGTGAGCCACCACATCTGGCCATAGTTCTCATTCTTCGGCAAAATACAATTCACATTCATATATATCTAAGGTAATTTATTACAGAATTTATCTCACCTGTCCCAGCCAAATCACCATTTTAACTAGCTTTGTAAAAGTCCCAACAGAGTCAAACTGAAATTATATAAATCTGTGAGATGACTTCAGCATAAGATAAAGCTACAGCACATATGCATTCTATTTAATGGTGGCATGGATTTTTGGTGCATTCTGGCTAATAAATACCTCTTCATTTTTTCAGCTCCTGGTATTTACCCTGTTGATTTGATTTACTTCCTCTTCTCTCTATTGTCTTAAGTCCAACACCATCTAATTCATTGAGGAGAACAGAAAGAACTCTCTCTTGAACATCACATCCTGTTTTGCTGATTGACCGAGCTCCCAAGATAGAATCAATTTCATCCAAAAACACAATGGCTGGAGTATTTGCTCTTGCTTGTCGAAAAACCTTATTAGGAAAAAAATATTAAGCTATTCGTAATACCTATGTCATATGAAGGTTCTCTGCATTACTATTTATAACTTTTAAAATATAAATTAAGATGGAAATTCACCCAAATGTTAACACAATGGAGAAGACTTGTTTATACTTTCCTGTTATTTCCTAAATTTTCTATAAATAAACATATATAACTTTTATAATTAAGAAAAAGGCTAGTGTTTTGTTTTGTTTGCAGTTTTTGGCCGGGGCTGGGTTTGAACCCACCACCTCCAGCATATGCACATATGGGGCCGGTGCCCTACTCCTTTGAGCCACAGGCACTGCCCCAAGGCTAGTAATATTTTTTAAAACAAGGGTTATCCATAAGACATAAAATAAAAATTCAAATGTAAACTTAGAGACATTGAAAAATAAACAAACCTGAGACAAGACTTTTTCTGAATCTCCAACAAAAGGTGAAAAGAGATCAGCCCCACTCACTGAAATGAAAGAACAATGACAGCTGGTGGCCAAGGCCCTAACCAGAGTGGTTTTAGCACATCCAGGGGGCCCATAGAGGAGAATTCCTTTTGGTTGTGTCAGGCCCATTCTAGCAAATTCGCAAGGGTATTTAAGAGGCCACTCAATGCTCTGTAAGTAAACAAAAAGAAAAGTTGCCTTAGTATAACAGTAAAACATTAAATGATTCAGTAAGTTAATTTTTCATTCAACAACACTCTGGCATCTGTTATGAGCTAGAAATGCAGTCCATCCTCCACACAACAGCCAGAGACCTCATATATAACCTATGTCAGCTCACATCACTTCCTACTGAAAATGCTTACATGATTTCCCATTAGAACTAGAGTAAGATCCAAATCCAAACTCCTTTCTCACCACAGCTTACAAGGAGATACAACCTATCTCCCAAATACCTAGTTTGTTTCCATCTCAGAGCCTTTCCTCTCTGCCAGAACATCCCCCCAAGATTTTTATGTGGCTATCCGTCATTCAGGTTGCAGCTCAAGTGTCATTTCCTTAGAGAGGACTTGGTTAAAATAGAACCCCTCATTCTAGCCACTCTCTACACTATTGCCCATACTTCGCAACACTCATTAATTCACTTATTTTTCCACGTTCAGTTTGTCATTGTGCTCTGCTAGAATGTAACCCAAATTCACCTCTAAATCCCCAGCAACTAGAATGACACCTGCCTAAAGCAGGCACTCAATAAATGTTAAGTGAATACTGAATGAATCCTCATTACCTTTAAGGTGAATAGTTTTATCATCACCCTTTTACAGATACAGAAACTTGGGTTTATAACATTAAATAACTTGTCCAAGTCTTATTCCTGGCAGAACCAAGACACCAGCTCTTAACTGTTTCCCTACAAAAATGGGACAAGACCCCTCCCTGTACCTAAGCTACTCATTTTAGTTAGAGAGAACAGCTGTTAAACTGACAATCAAGCCTGAGAAGGGTATTACAAGGAGAAGGAACAACACATACAGAGATGCTGAAACCTTTTGACTTAGAGGATGGGGGTGGCTGGCTGAATTCACTGAGGCAGGGAATCTAACTGTGGGGGTAGAACTGATTTGCTGAGTTTGAGACCCATGGGGTTATCCAGCAGGCAGCCAGCTAAGTAGTTCTTATGATCAGAAGAAAAGTCTACTCTAGATAATCTAAACAGATTTTTGAATCAACAAGCGGACAGGTGAAGCCCCTCACATTAAGAAGATCATGAACACACAAACTGCAAAAAGAGGACTTCCAGGAGACTCTGGGAGCGCTGACATTTAAGGGAGGAGAGAGGAATGATGAGAAAGGCAGAGGGCTTAATATCTCAAAGCTAAGGAAACCGAGTGTTTCTAACAAAAAGGTGTGGCTAATTCCTTACACATCTTATGAAGATTAAGTGAGACAATGCATAAAAAATATTAGTGCATATCATATGTGCTCTTACTCACTGACTCAGGATTCCAGGGTTCACTGGAAATAAAGCTCCTAATTAAGATGAATAAATTATAATTGATACTAATGAAACCTAATTCCTTAGGGCAGGTCACATGTAGGTGAATTAGCAAAATCAATTTATCAAACTGCAAAGCAGGTGAGGAGATGTGAAGAGTGTACCCCTCAACTTCCATGATGAAAACCAGCCTAAGTAACCACCTAGGCCACACTGACAGTTCACCCTGACTGTGCTTTTACCAGTCCTTATCCTGTGCCCATTTACTGTCTTCTGTGTCAGAGGTGCAAAGCCCACAAAGTAAGGATGGTTTTCACCTTTTAAACCTGAAAAAATGTCAAAATTTTCTGACACGTGAAAATGACATGATTTCAGTGCCCTAAATAAAATTTTATGAAAGTACAATTACTCATTAATGTATTGTCTATAGCCACCTTTGCAGTACAAATGGCAGAGCTGAGCAGCTGCAACAGACTGTACGGCCCATTAAGCTTCAGATTTTACTATTTGGCTGTTTACACAAAATCTGTTCACCTGTTCTAAATTATAAAATCTTTAAAGCAAAACACAAAGAAGGCTGAGGTGGGAAAGTATAAAAAAATTTTGATTATCTATCAAAGTCCACTTAAAGAAGGACTGGAAAGTGATCACTGGATTTAGATATGAGACTTGCTAGTGACAGCAGCAAAAGCAGCTTCAGTGCAGTAGTTTTCGTCATAAATACACAGACTGTTACTCTGTAATTTTCTGCTAGCATAAGCAGATCGTCTGTTTTACCTGTTTTAACTTCAGTTTTATATCGTCAAGGCCACCAATCTGCTCCCACCCAACAGGCTTGATGTCCATCCGTCCAACGACACTTCGTAATGATGAGGGTTGAATCTTTTTAAAAGCTTCGAGGAAGTCTGTTTCATCAATCACAGGGTTGTCCTGATTCTGAAGAAATATCCAAAAAAGCAAAATCAAACAAAAAATTAGGTGGGCCTTTTTTGTGGCACATAAGCAAAATTACTTTTGTAAAAGCAAAATCCTGTTTTGAATTTGTAAATCTATCTTATCATTATAAAATGGATTTATGTATATAGTACACAAACTGTCTCCCACCAACTCCCACTAATATTCATCCTCAGCAGATATCAACAGTTTCTTCCAGTACATTTTCTGGCAATAAGCATATGAATATCCTTTTAAACAGATATGCAAATGAGACCATACTATATTTATCTGCACTTATTTTTTCACTTAGAAATATTTTCATGTCAACTAATATGGTTCTATGTCTCTCTTTTTGATGATTGCACTGAATAAATGTACCATAACTCCATCTTTCTAACAAACATTAGGTCATTCCCAGTCTTTTGTCTTTAAATAAAAACAATGCTGGGGTGGTGCCTGTGGCCCAAAGGGGTAGGGCACCAGCCCCATATACCAGACGTGGTGGGTTCAAACCCGGTCCTGGCCACAAAAAAAAAAAAAAAAACCAAAGCTGCAACTCAAAGTCCTTGTGTTTGTGTTCAAGTATTTTATGTAATTATTTTCTCAAAGTATAATTATTAGGTTTAAGAGTATGCACATGTAAAATTTTGACAGCTATTACCAAATTGTCCTCAAAGGAAGCTGCATCAACTTATTCTTGTCCAGTGACATGAAACTGCCATTCTCCCCATACATCCTCAATACTGGCTATTACCAAACTCTTAAATTTCTGCCACTGTGGCAGGAAGAAATAGTATTCACTATCATGTTAATTTCTTCAATTCAGAGTGTGGTAAAGAAAATGATAAAATTAAAATATCACTTTTGCAACCATCACAGAAAAGGCTGTTTGGGGCCAGAACTAGATGCTACATCAAGGTAAGTGAAAGTTTACTGAGGAGCAGGATATCTCAAAATATTTCCCCACAGATTTGTTATTAGTGGCAAAGGAAAAAACAGGAGCTACATAATGGAGAAACTGGACACTGCCTTGACGACTGAGCAAAATCAGCATGATGGGTGCTGATAGACATCTTGTGCCTCCACGTGTGACACTCTTAAGGATATAATGTTGCTTATGTAGTATTCCCAGTGGGGACTTAAACCTGAACCTGACTTGCACTCAGTTATGACAATGTCAAATGTCTCAGACAAAAAATGCATTCAAGAGTCAAAGAGACTACAAACTAAACACAACCCATTATCCTGGATTAGAGCCTGTAGGAGAGGGGGAAAAAATGCTAAAAAGATTGGGACAATAACCAAAATGGTAATTATGAATTGTAGATTTTAGAACATTTCGTATCGATGTTAAATTTTCTGAATATGACTAAATATGACCATACCGTAGTTACATATAGGAACCTCCTTGTTCTTAGGAAATAGACATTAAAATGTTAAGGGATAAAGAATCATGATATATGCAACCCATTCTCAAATGGTCCAAAATAATTACATGCACATATACACTGGGGGGAAGGGAGACAGAAAATGATAGAACTAATTTGGCAAAATGTTAAAAATTAGTGATTTTGAATAAACAGTTTAGTGAAAGTTCTTTGTATCTTACAATTTTTCTGTAAGTTTAATATTTCAAAATTTTTTAAAAAATCATAAACCAAAATGCCAATATACTTTTTAAAAATTAAGCATTACTGGCTCGGTGCCTGTGGCTCAAGTGGCTAAGGCGCCAGTCACATACACCTAAGGTGGCAGGTTCAAATCCAGC